CACCAGGTAATACATCAAGCCTGGCATTCACACCATAACAAAAACAGCCATTCAACTCCCAGGCCTTATTATTAGAGAATCAGTGATGGTAAATTTTGTGGCTAAAAATAATTTAAATGGTCTTTTGCAAACCTTGACCCAACATTGTAAAAATCCTTGCTTCATTTAAAATAAAAAACAGTTACAACTACATCCATTCGATCACTTGCATTGTTGTTATATTTTTAATATCTTCCCATTCCCATTCTACTTCATTTGCTTTCTTCCCGTAGGTCTACTGGTAATTCCTAAAACAATCTAAAAAGAGAAAGCTTCAAGAGGAGTTTTCTTTCTCCAATTTTTGTCTTTTTGTCACTTACAGTATTTGAAGAAGACAGTTGTAACATGATATAGGTTGATCTGAAAGATTAGCAATGGAGTCTACTAGGTGATGGATCTCCAACAATCAATCAATACCAAACCTCAATATAGCAACCAAGAGGTCCCTATACCTAGATTCTACCCTATCATAGTCTTCACAAATGGACAGACATGAAACCAAGAAACTGAGATTTGGAACATGAAGACAATTATTTAAATTTCCTTACTTGCTTTTTATCAGGTATGTTATCAAGTATTGATACAATCTGTAACTGTTTTCTTGCATTTCCACAAGCACACTTAGCAATCCCTGTTGAGTTTTAAGACTTGTTATTTCTTTTTCTATCTGAAAGAGACATTACAGGTAAATCTTAATTTAGTGACCATTCAAAGTTATGACTGATCTCAAAAAAGGACTTATGACCCAGATTTGAACTTCCAACAGCAGCAGTCACGATCACATTTTGGGTACTCGGTACCCAGGTTGTTATTGTTGTTAGTTGCAAAGTCTTGTCCAACCCCTCGAACCCCATGGACAGGCCTTCCTGTCCTCTACCATCCTCTGGAGTCCATTTAAGGTCACACCTACTGCTTCAGTGACTCCATCCAGCCATATCATTCTCTGTTGTACCATTCTTCTTTTGTCCTCAATCGTTCCCAGCATTAGGCTGTTCTCCAGTGAGTCCTTCCTTCTCATTTGGTGGCCAAAGTATTTGAGTTTCATCTTCAGGATCTGGCCTTCTAAAGAGCAGTCAGGGTTGATCTCCTCTAGAACTGACTGGTTTGATCGTCTTGCAGTCCAAGGGACTCACAGGACGACCAGCAACCAAGTACTCAGCAGCTTATATTTAAAATTCATCAGTGTTATTGAAACCCTTAAGTGATGAACATCCATTTGCATATATAAAAATCTAATGAGCATCATGATTTACATACAGAATTATATGTATATAGGTATATACTATATTATTTTAGTGATGTTGTTTAATTGTTCATTGGGAGCTAAAGTTTGATATCAGATGCGCAATTGTATAAATGCTTTTAAAAATTTCAAGGAAATCATGGGGATATCCTTTGTGTGGCATCCTAGTAACCATATTACTAGTATGAGAGATGTGGAAATGGTGAAAAAAATGGTTACAGTGCAAAATTTAAGATTGATCATATTTAATTTCAATTTGCTTATTAACAATGAATTACATGTTATTCATATGACTGTACCTCATATACCTAATAATTGTTTATCTTCTGCCCCATTGAAAAGAACAGTTTTAATGAGACATTAAAAGGCAGACATTCAGACTCATGCACACTCACATACATTCTTGCCTTAAGGTTGCCTCTCACTCCACTAAGGCCCAAGTTCAGTTTTCTAATTTTGTTCCTCACATGGCTGTAGGATACTAAACAATGATAATAGTGCACCAGACAGCAGTGTCTGGAGATAGCCTGTTTCACTGTTTTGTTTCTAATCCATCAAGCACTCAAAAAGACATCTTCTCTAAGATCTTGGAACTTGCTGACATTGCTAAATTGACTTCTTTGATCAGAGAAAAGACAATGTCTGTTTATTGTTGACCGGAAACCCCTTATAGACTTTTTGCATGAAATGGGGGTGGGGGTGGGGGGGGGATTAACTCAATATCTATGTTTTTGATGATTAGACTACATAGATTATAGAAATGAGAGAGTTATATCTACAGAGTAAAAACTAAGTATATCATTGTACTTCAAACTGTTATAAAAAAAGATCAGAAGCTGTTTATTTGTATTCTTCATTCTTTTCTATTTTTCTGTTATTCCGCCCCCCCCCCTGTTTTTTTGCACTTTTAATTTTCTCTTATATTTTTTTCCTTTTCTTACTTTTTATTAATTTGTATTAGGTTTTATCTTTCATTCTAAACATATAATATTCTCTTCTACCCCATGGATGGTGTGTGTATCTGTGTGTGTATTTGTAAATTACAGAAACAAGAAAATCTCTTCAAGAAGATTATTTTGGGTTTAAATATTTATAAAAGTTATGGTTGCTATTATTCATAGCTTCTAAAAGATAAATATGAACATTGTTTTTGGCATTGAAGGCTATTTTGTAAATATGTCAAGAGCACAAAGGCTCTGGTAAACTTGCATGTAAAAAATTTTTTTAGATCCCACACAGTGAACATAGCTTAAGATTCCATACAATGGACATGGTTGGAGACACTATTATATCTATTACACATTTGATAATATTATACTTGAATACAGGAAGAAAAAAAACACCAGATCTTTGGAACTGACCACCTCAGTTTTTAATCACTGGAATCTATGTTGAATCCAGACAATATGGTAAAACCTAACTTCGGTCTAGGAAAAGCTGCTCAGCTTATCTTTGAAGTGATTCCTCTACTTTGTCTACTTTGGAAATTGTCTTATCTTTTGGAAAGAAAATATTTTTTTGATTTCTATGTTTTTACAAGCAAATTAATAAGTTAGCATTCAACTTATTCAATAACATGATAATGTACACACACAGTATTCTGAGCATAAAGGCTATATTGATCAGGAGAAAGAATGGGACATTCTGAAACATATGCAGAATAAGCTATATTTCATTCATTTCTTTTAACTTTATTTCATCTAAAATTTTAAATGGATGTAATTGTTGTAATTGCCTTTTCTATATGCCCTAATATGCTAATCAGAAATATGACACACCTACCAGTGGTGGGTTGCCATTTTTTTTACTACCAGTTTGGATGTATGGCTCTGCCCTCCCAAGCGGGTGAGCAGAGCCTCTTGCCGCTGCTACTACCAGTTCACCAATCCAGGCCGAACCGGGAGCTACCCACCTCTGACATATACCTATTTGATAAGAGAATTCCCCCCCCCATCCAGAAAATTAACAACACAAAAAAGAGGAAATAATAAACCTTATACCTTAGAGTGCATAGTCATAACTGTAGCTGAAGATGTTGCAAAATTCAGCATTTAATATATCCAAATGAAATTTAGACTGGAGAATAAATCTGTCAGGAAAACAGCCAAATAGAATTCTTTGCTTCTAATAAAGGTACACCTGATGCAATTCATGTAGCACAATCGTTTATAGACTTCAGAACATTGTACGCATTCATTACTGCACATGCTCTTAGACTGATGAAAAGTGTCAGACGCCATTGGGTACACAGGTTTCATATTCTAAAGCAGCACAAGGAGAGGAAAGGAAAGGAAAGAAGGAAAGTAAAGGAAAGGAATATAGTGTTGACATATAACCTTATGCAGCTGTTTTTCTGCATATGAAAATGATGGAATTATAGGGAATATGCATATATGGCTTTATTTGCATGGTGGATTCTAATGATGGTTAATGCTTCCAAGACAGGCCAAGACAGGCAATACAGTAATGAGGCAAAGTCTTGCTTATCTCCTAAACAGCCTTGCAGCTTCAGCTGGGGGAATGGTGAAAAGATAGAAGTGCTTTATGAAATTTGGCCTCATGCACTTGAACAACTGCTATGTTTTCTATGCCTTGAAATCCACAATGAACATGGTGTTTGAAAGCCAAGATCTCCCCAGTCTATTGCTGATAGGCAACTGTGACTTTCTGCTGGTAGCTTTGAATCAGATATACCTAGCCAGCATTTCTTTATACACTTTCAAGGCTCTAAATTGGAGCTGAACCATATACAATTATAATAATTACAACTGACAGGATTGAGAAGATAGTTGTTCAGATTCTCTTGCAGAAAAGCTAAGCATTTCCTTCTTTCATGCCATTCAATGACAAAGATAGGGAACCCATGACCAGCTAGCTACCTAGAGCCCCCAGTTCTGCTTTTTACTTGCCCTCACATTCCCTCACATTTAGCAATAGAAATAGAAGTTTGACTTATATACCACTTCATAGGGCTTTCAGCCCTCTCTAAGCGGTTTACAAAGTCAGCATTATTGCCCCCACAGTCTGGGTCCTCATTTTACCCACCTCGGAAGGATGNTCTGGGTCCTCATTTTACCCACCTCGGAAGGATGGAAGGCTGAGTCAACCCTGAGCCGGTGAGATTTGAACCGCCGAACTGCAGTTAGCAGTCAGCTGAAGTGGCCTGCAGTACTGCACTCTAACCACTGCGCCACCTTGGCTATTGTCAAAATGAAATAGCAAATCACCAAATTACAATAGTACTATATTGTTTTTCTCTGACTTAAGGAAGGGAAAAAGCAGGGACAAAATAGCTATCAGATCCAAGTTCTAGTGCCTCTATCCAGAAACATTATAGTAACACACCATATAGCAATCATCAGCTGCATAAAAAAGAAGTGTGGTTTAAGTTGAATAAATAGACGCTCTTCTATCAGTGACCTAATCCATTTGCCCACAGCAGCACTACGTAACAAAGATGATTTATTGGGCTACCAATTTCATGATCTATCTAATTTAATCTTTGGCCACTGAAAGCTGCTCTTTAAGCTACCCATCTCATAAACTTACTTCCTGATTTCTATTCTAAAAATCCACTGAAATAAGTAAACCAATTCTTTACAGCTGCACATTTAATCATTAAATCTACAACCGTTCTTCCAGACCATGTGCAATTTGTATGCTACAGATCTTTAACAAAGCCATAGTTTCTAATTTTATGCAAAAGACCAATCCTTACCGTTTTATTGCTTCTTCTTGTTTCCGGCGCTTTTCATTCTTTTCTTTCAAGTAAGCCAGGTTGGTTTCATTTCTCATGCGATCGTTCTCCCGGGCAATGTCAGATGCATTCTGTATAACTAAGCCATCATAGGCCTTCAGGCCCATATCTTCAATGTACTGGAGAAAAGTGCCCAGAGTGACCTCCTCCTGATTAGAATTCATCATCTTGTGGGAAATACTTCCTGTGGGTTGGCAAAAGGAAAAATGTTCATGCACACATACATTTTTTTCACTGGTTTTCTGTCCTTTGTCAAATCAGTGAACAATTCAAAATATGTCAGGTTTTTCAACTGTAATTTTATTTAAGGCTGAAAACAGTTTGAGTAATTATTGGATTTTGTATTTTAAATAATGAGGATTATCCATTCCATGCTTCTTTGTATTACTGATCTAATAGAAATTAAAACTTTCTAATTTATTTTTGAGTGTGCTCCAATTTGGGCTGCTATTAGCTCTGTGAGCTCTATTTTAAATGAATTGCATCAAATAAAAGCTTTATTGCTATATACCGAATTGGCTTTTTTTCCCTTCCTCTCTATTCTCTCCTACTTTGCTTGATGCAAAATACTGGAAATTTCAGACATTTGTTCATTGACTATTGCGTTTCTTTTTTATCATTAAACACAACTGATTTAATTTAGAACTTTTATAAGGTCTAAATTTACAACAAGCATTTTCTAATGTTGTGACCTCTTTCATATAAACACACATACAGAGAGACAAATTTCATGGTTTTGTTTATTCTTTTATTTATGTATTTATCATATTTCTACACTGTCCATCTCACCTAAGTGCTATATGCATTAATATATGAAACTTGGCTGTCACCCAAGGAAGTATTCACACCAAATCCATATGTTCCTTGGCTTAAGATAAATTCCATGCTTCTGATTAAAGTTGATTGTGATCCATGAAATCTCTGGCAATAGTAGAAGCATTTCTAAAGTGCTGCCAGATTGGTTTGGTGTTTATTTATTTCATCTTTACTTAGAAAACAAGTTTTAAAAGCAACCCTTAAGGGTTGTATTGATACATTCAAGGGAATGTATAGATAATATCCTCATATAAAAAGTTTTACAGCTTCTAATTACATTCAGCCATTATAATCATATTTCATTTTAAATGCTTGGGGACCACCTCAGTATAAGTTCATTTATAGTTTTGATAACAAACAATGATATCGAGGCCTATATGCTTAGTAGTAAAGCAAACATGAAGTTAGAAGGATTGTTTGCCTTTTCACCATATCCTATGCTGCTGAAAATCAACAAATTATATTCAAAAACATTTCAGAATTTGCAATGGCAAAGACAGGACTGAATCAAAGATTACACTGCATGAGCAAAAGGCAAATCTTACAATAGTTCCATCCATTCAAAAGAAAAAGAAAAAAAACCCACAGTTTTTTGTCCTAACTGTTCCCAATCATTTGGTGAAAGAGAAATTTATTTTTGAACTGCTCTGTTGAAGAAGATAATTTCAGTGAAATTCTCACAGGTGGTATATGGTGTAGTTTTTATGAGACAAACCATAAGATGCATGAATATGCTGAATTTCATTCTAAATCATCTCACCCCAATCTGTGACCTTGCTAGATTTGTCAGAATTCAATTAAATCCCATGGGAAGACATAACGACACTTTTTTCATTGGCATTGAGATTGAAAGGTTTGGACCGCAAAAAAAGCCTTAAAGATATGACAACCTAAGTAGCAGAAAACAATAGCAGCATTTGCTCTGTCCGCCAATTCCAACATTAAAATAACCTGAAAAACGCTACCAAACGAAATGCCAAAGAAATGTTCAGGTATACTAGCCATAAAGTAAGAAAACTCTGAAACAAATTAAATTCAAGCATGCTGAATTTAAACCAATGGCAACAAAATAAACTATAAATTAGGAACGGTCATTTAACCTAGTCCTAAGAAAGCATGTACATCAGCAACCTTGTTTGTTTTTAATTTCTGCATTAATGATGTGACTCTTTGCTTTAATTGTTCCGGATTTATATACTTAAAATTGCAGATCCATAATATCATTCATATGGATATGCATTACTTCAGTTTCAAAGAAAAATTTGCTGTGGAGTACTTGAGGTATATCTGAAACCTCATGCAGAAGGATCTTTTCCCATACATTCCAAAGCATGTTTTTGCCATTAAGCCTAATATTTCTATTGCATACTAGCCACTTTCCCTAACTTCGTGAAAGTGAGGTGCCTGAACAGCTACATATATGAAGAGAGCTAAATTAGGCTGGAAAAAGAATTGCTGCTTTCACAACTTGGGAAAATGTGCTTTATACATGCTACTGCTTCAAAGCATCTCTTTTGAATTATTGAAACAAACTGTAATTTATACTTTTACTAAAAACATTATACTTTATAATGTTTTATAACATTGGTTCTGGGAAGTCAGGGGAGGGAAGGTTGGGGGGTTGGGGGGGAGGGTGGGAGGGAGGGAAGTATATTAGCCTTGAGGAGGGGTGTTAGGTTTTAAAGTAATATGATTGTACATGTATACTGTCTTCTCTTACTTTTTTAAAACAAAGATATGTTATGTATATTGAAATGAAAGTATAAATACCATCAACACGGAATGGAGTTTGCTCAGAAGCTGAAATACACCAAGTGAATGAGAGGAAGAGTGGGAAGCAAAGGAGAGAAGAAAGATAGGAGAGAGGGATAGGAGAGAGGGTAAGGATGGGAAGATGAGGAGAATAAGGAGGAGTGGAAAGGGGAGAGAGGAGAAGGAGAAAGGAAGGGGAAGTAGAGTAGAAAAGGATGATGGAGGGAAGAAAGGAGGTAGGGAGAGGGAGGAGAGAGGCAGAAGAAAGTGTTGGATAAGGGATAAATATGGTGTATGGAGAGCGGAAGAGCCAATAATTGGTTTTTATTTTTATTTTTATTTTTTTCCGGGAGTTGATGGCAAGATGAACTGATGTAATTATTAATTAACACAACATGATATTGGCTAGGTAATAGTATACATGTGATTATATGTTATGAAAATGAAAATAAAAAGATATTTTGGATAAAAACATTATACTTTAAATTTCCTTGCCTCCTCTATTAATTTTTGTTTGATGATGAGGGAAAAAAGATGAAATGAAGAAGGGGAAAAGACTAGACGTATAGAATATTGGAGGATGGGCTTGAATCAGGGGTGGGTTTCTCACCCCGTTCCAACCGGATCGGTTGGAACGAGGCCGGCGGCGTCCTCACGCCTGGAGGATCGCGCAGGCATTCTGCGCATGCGTGGAAAGCGCGAAATTAAAAAAAAACGGGTAAGGAGCGGGCGCGGGGGGGGGGGCTTCGCCGTTCCCGGAAGTTACTTACTTCCGGGTTCGGCGACCAACCGGATCGCAGGGACCGGTGCGAACCGGTTGAAACCCAGCCCTGGCTTGAATCCTAAAAAGACAGCAGCAATTTACAATAATGTTGTTGTTGTTGTTGTTGTTGTTGTTGTTCCATTCAATCACACATGATTCTCAGACAGTGCCTGCACAGGTCCCTGCAGTTTTCTTGGCAAGGATTTTCAGAAGTGGTTTCCATTGCCTCCTTCTTAGGACTGACTGAAAGTGGATTTTGTCAAAGTCACCAGCAAAGTCTATGCCTAATATGAGACTAAAATTAATGGTCTCCTGGTTTCTAGCCTGATGCCTTAATCACTACACCAAACTGCTGTAGTTTGTACCATACAAATGTTATACTAAGCAGTCTAAATCCAAATGTAACTTGCAATACATGTTAAGGAAGGCCATATTTTCGTCAATGCCAATGAAGTTAACATAGTGTAGCACTAAATAATACATAATATTAAAGCAGACTCAGTTTTCCAGAGTTTTCATATTGTCACAATCATTCTTACATTCTTTAAAGTAAACCAGTATTATGAACACCTTTATATTAAAAGCACTAATCTGATCTTTGTATACCTTCATCAACCAGTATTTGAAGTGAATGAGGACCCCCAAGCTAATCTTGTAATCACTTTGCTATGTTATAGTCCTTTATATTCTAGGAAATATTACTGTATTTAGTCTTTAGTAATTTGATTTCAAGATTTCATTGCCTGTACATAGCAGATTTGTCACTGAGCTGATTGTGTTAATAACATTTGACTATTAATATTTAAAGAAGGTTACGTGTTTTTCAACATATCTATTATTATTGTACTTGGTCTTTTACACTGTTTTAAACCTATTGTATGGAAGTAATATATACAATATTTATACAATACAAAATATACAGAGAAATCATAATTTCTCTGAAACTATGTCTTTTAAGGTTCCAGCCAATCTTTACCTACAATCAGGGCATTTCTCACTTTTCCTGACAAAATTTCTTATCTCCTGAACTGCATTTCATGTCTGTCAAATATGTTCAATTATGGGTTTTTTAAAGAAAATGTCTGCATTTTGGAATTGCAAGATACTTTTTCTCTTCATTATGGCAGAATTTAGGATTGCCCTGTCCATTCTAGTTTCTGGATAACCCACTTTTCCTACAAAACAAATTGCATTCATTACTTCTTCATGCCATTGGACAGATGAATGGTGAATCAGTTATCAATTCAACACTGAATATCAACAGTTTAAAAGTGAATGCCATGCAGCTTATGCAAGCTTGTCATTTGATGATAGAGAAAACATCCAGCCATCTAACTTGCTACAAGTCAGAAGTTTATGTATGGAGGTCACCGTTTTCTTTAAAACACAGCATGGTTTAAATTTTTTACTACTTTCCCTTCATCTCTTGCTTACGGTCATGATGGAAATGCTGTGATAGAAAGAAATGCCTTAGAATCATTTGGACAAAAGATGTTCTATGGAGAAGAAATGAAGTTCTCAGAAACTGTCTTTTTACTTTTTATTTTTCCTGTTAGTTTATTCAGCTTACACAGCAAGGTCACTGCATGATACATTTTTTAGGGAGCCTGTGAATACTCCCATGACTAATTGCAATGGGATGATAACAATGCATGGGCAATTTCAGTAAATGAAAATAAATAATGGATTGGGTTTTTCAATCAAATATCTCTGATTTCCTGAAAAGTGATGACTTAATATAATAAAAAAATCCTGAAGAACTCAGATGCTTAAATCACTCAGTAAAAGCACAAAGGGGAAACCCATGACTTATGTCAGACTAATTAAACAATAATGTTCCAGTTCATTTAAGGCTATAAATATATATATGTAAAATATGTGTATTATACCTGATCTCATTTAGCTGCTCTGGTTAAGTCAGCTTTCCACAATTTAGTAGTTTCTGGATGAATTGCTAATTAAATTCCAAGAATGTATTCCTTGGTAATTCTGTGAATTACAATCTCAATTTACAGAGTGATGAGTTGGAGACACTAAGGCTAAATCATAAAATTTTGATGATTTATAGAATGGAGAAGTGCCAAGGGGTAGAGTGAAATTATCTGAAAAGATGATAGATAGATAGATAGATAGATAGATAGATAGATAGATAGATAGATAGATAGATAGATAGATAGATAGATAGATAGATAGATAGATAGAACATAAAAACAAATTAGAGAGCTAGTGTGTGACCCATCTCAACTTCTTCTTTGTGTAGTCTTTCCCCAAGAATTTCACTGTTGAAGGAAATTCTTTGTAAACAAAAGGAAGTAAACTTACGCTTGTCCTCTCTACTAACAGCATTGTGGAGGAAGAGGCATCTTCAAGATACTACAGGAAAAATATATACTGTACATCTTCTATTTTCTTTTATTATACCTCTGAAAGGTAGTTCAGGTTACATCTGATGTACAAGTCAGAGTCATCTAATAAGTTTCATGGCTCAGTTGGGAACTGAACCTGAACCTTCCCCAATATTAATTCAGCATTATAATCTCTACATCCAATTGTCTCTCATGCAAATTTTGCAGAATGATGCTCATTTGTCAAAATGGTTCTCTGCATGACTCCTAGCCATTTTCAGCACACTTAAGAAAATCCTCATTTGGAGTTTCTTCAGATTTGCATGGAAAATTCCCCAGTCAGCCTAAGAAGCCTTTTGACCCGTATGGTTAGCCACATGAAGTTCCTTGTGTAGAGTTTCAAGTGGTTACCATGATGCAATTTGTATATCTGGTTTGAGCTGTGCTGTACTGGAAAGAAAACTACATGTGGACAAAAGGATAGGACAGGTTGTTAAAAGATAACCTATTCCGGAAGTAAGAAATTAATTTCCTATCACTGACATCCCTGTCTTGAATTACAATTGCATTTCCCCTCCCAGATAAATGGAAGAATGTAAAAAGGAATAGGTTTTCAAGCTTACACAAGTCAGCATGCAGATTCCCTTTTATCTTCTCTTTGATATGTTCATTTCTCAGCACATGTAAATTCTAATGGAACAATGACATCATCAAATAGCAGATGCATTCCATTCCAGTTGTAGCATTTGGGTTCTGTTTGAATGATTTAAATGCTTACAAGACATTTAAGTGCTATACAGTCAGACCACATTCTGTTTATACCAAACTGCTGACTGCAGCACCACTATAGGTGTATCACACTCTAGATTCTCCTCTCTTTCAGGTTGCTGCCTTTTATGCAATGGCTTTTAGAAGACATATAATTTTATGGATAGGCACATTGTCAATGAAACTCTCATATTGTGTCTGGATCCTTCCTTGTTAATTTTTAAGTGGATTTAATTTTTTTAAAGGAAATTACTTCTGTTTCCACATGGTAGGCATGCTGAGAAATATTATCTAGGTGCTAAAATTACTGATAATGACAAAGATAGAGCAAAGTCTAAACTTTTCTGCAAAGTCTTGGTAAGTTCATCCTACCTAGAAACTTTCTATGCACAGTTGCAATAATTTATTATATTGGTGTATCTATACATATAAGAGCATATGCACTGGTATATATATGGGCATGTTTATGTGGTTGTGTTAGCATATGTGCATTTACATATATGTGTATTTTTCCCAACAGGATTTCAGAGTAAATGAAGAAAAGCTCCCTTTACAGCTAAAAGAAGCCACTTGTGTGAAAGTATTGGCAATAAAGAACTTTACAAACTGCATATATTAAGGATGGGTACAATTTGCACAATAGATTCTCTTTCCTGCAGGCCATAGACCACAAGGCTTGAAGAGTGTGGATCACTGATACTGTTATTATGGTGGTTTACGTGTCAATGGTAAGACATTTATTCCATGATGCCTTTTCATATGTGTCTTAATCCCAAACGCAATTTCCTAACAAGAAATAACATATAACTAGAGTCTCGACAACCAGAAGCAGCCACAATTGATAAATTAAGCTTATCTATAGATAACTAGGTCTGCATGGTTAGGTTTAAAGAAAGATATAATATATTTGTTTAAGTATATGTCATCATGTTCTTAGAGGGGCATGTAGAGAAGAGAACAAGGTAAAGTGAAGATATTTTGTCTAAGAGAAAGAAATTTAAATGTGAAATATTAAGCGTATGCTTTATATAAGAAATAATTAATATAGCTCTGAAAGATATTTGCAGTGTGTTTCATGAAAATAGGAAAAAACATTTTAATAATTTAGCATGGCTTTTACAAACGAACACTCCACCCACCAAATTTTCTTAAAAGACAGTCTAATGCACAGAAAAAGAAGGGAAAAAATCCCAATACATTACATTTTAGTTTGTCTGGTGTTTAATTAATATTTTTAAAACACAGAAAGTTTTTCATTAGATACTTCTGGACTGTAAATAAATCATTTTTGCTGATATACATCTTTTACAGCATTTCATTTCATTAGCATGCTTCGAGGTTGTTTTAAATAAATGGATGGATAGATAGATGGATGGATGAATAATGTATGTGCAGGCATACATGCATACATATATATATATATATTTATATACATACCAAGATTAAAGTCCTTGGGGGACTGCTAAGTGCAATAATTAAAGGTGACTTTTATCTGTAAAAGCCCTTTCTTATGATTTAGCTCAGTGCAGTCTGAAGGGATATTTCAGCACCATTTAAAAAACAACAACAACAACAGATTTTGCAGACTGGCTCAGTTTTTCTTCAGTTAAAGTGCTTGAGATCTCCTTGGCAAAGATATCCAAATTGTAGCGTTCTGCATCTCCAGAAGTCCGTATGTTCAATTCAAAATGCAGGTCTTCTCCATACAGGATTAAAAAAAGGCTTTTAAAGTTTGACTTTTAAAAATACAGTATTGGGAAGAGAGAGGATCTGGCATCTTAAATCCACCTTGAAAGAAAGGACAGTTAAGGTATCAGGGGGCACCAGTGGTACCCTGCTTTGAAGTCCAAAAGAAATGAAATGGGAGGGTTTTTTGCCCACTTCACCACACAGAAGATTACAGCACCAGCATATGTGATGATAGAGAGGGGGTTAAGGTGCCTCATTGGAGTGGATGCTGTGGAGACCAAGAGAAAGAAAAAGAATGGATAGAAAGCATTGTATCCAAATGGCTTCGTGCAGTTGTAAAAGCAGTCCTTGTTGCCATCTAAACACGGAAGGTTGTAAAACAGTCTTTCTTGCACTCTTCCACTCTGTCCCCCCCTCCGCCTTCTCGCTGTGTGTGTCTCTCTCTCCCGCTCTCTCCCTTTCTGTTGATGCTGTTGTTGATTAATCAGGGATTCTCAAACAAAGAGCAAGCCTACCTTCGGCTTTGAGCAGTAATCTGAAGCTTCACTTTTCCTGCAATCCGTTTGCATTCAGTAGCCAAGCAGCCAGCATTCTAGCACCTTGGACAGTTCCTTTTTTTTGCTTTCCTCAGGCCCGTTGGGAAAAAAATTGAGCCAGGGGAACAAGTGAAGAAATGGCAAGAGACCGGAAAGCAGCAGCCTTCGACTCCAGCTTGCAGTCCCCAGGGGCGCAGCTGCTCATTAAAACCTCCTATACAGACGACAGATTCTCTCTCTTTTCTCTTGGCTACACAGAAGTCTGACCAGCAAAATAATCTGGTGTGGGTGTGGGTGTGGGTGTGTAGAATCTGAACAAATCCACGCTCTTTAGGTAGGGCAAAATATGAAACAAGACTGTTCCATTCTTATCCCCCACTCCTCCCAAAACATCTCTCCACAGAGAATGGACAAGTTAACCTTTAGTCCTGGAAAGCGCAGCCACTTAGAGGGAACATTTAAGTCTCGGCTTGAGATTCACATATTGATGTATCGTTTGCACTCACCCTCGTTGTAAAAGCCATGCAAAGCTCACAATTACTGCTGACGCAGATTAGGCTGCTGCTTGGGGAATGGTAGGAGGAGCTTTTTAACCTCATCAAAACAACTTCCCACCACCTGCTCCCAATGCATGAAAACATATCTCCCCTACTTGGAATGAGTAACCATGTAATCATATGATTTGTAAGGCATTTGAGTCTAGTGCAAGACTTCCTGTAGGTGGATATGAAACAAATGGAGCTGTGATCTACATGACATACCACAGTATTTTATAACACCACTTTACTTCAACTATTAAAAGCGGAAATAGTTTTAGATCAGTATCAGAAGATACGCGTGCATGCACACACACACGCACACACACACACACACACACACACATGCACACACACAAACACAGACAGACAGGCAGACAGACAGACAGATAGATAGATAGGCAGGCAAAAATGTTCAAGTACCCTTAATCAACAATTTATTTTAGTTATTTATTTAGTTATTTCATAATGAACATGAATCCACTAATCAATTAAAATCTATGTTGTCTTACTAGCTTTTACCCAACTTTTGGCATCCTCTAGATGAATACCTAAATGTAGCTTTCAGAATTCTCAGTCATCATGGTGACTGGTAGTTCTGGAAGTTGTGATTCCCATACATGTTGTGGGGAGCATCAGGTTGGAAAAGAGAAGTCTTTGGGGAAGATAGGATTCATGTCAATGAGGAGCTTCATGCTGCAGAAGGAGCACAGTCTGTTTTGTTGAGCACTGGCTTCTGTTTATATGGGGCTTAGCTCAACAACTTTGATGTTTCTTTTTGTATTTTAAAAAAAATCTAATGTTAACCACCAAAAGTCACTACAGTGACATATTT